CGAACCGTTTTCTTGTAATTAACTATTGAAAAAAAAATTTAAGCCGATTTTTATGGAACTTTTTTGGCGATATATATCATGGTCTTATAGAACTTACTGAAATACTACGGCTTTACGACAAGTAGTTTAATTTTAAAAATTCATCAAAGTTTGAGAAAATGTGTAGTTTTTTTGGCATTTGTTAAAATTAAAATTAGACGATTTACTTGGTATACCGATAGAGTACTTGATCTTAATGAACATACTAAACCATTAAAATCCTACGGAAACTGGTTCAATTATGAAAATTGTTTATTTTTGAAAATTTGCTTTTAGAAAATACTCCAAGTTAACGAGTTTGTTCGTTTTCAATTATGTGTAATAAATCCACTCGGAATACTTTTAATGACTCATAAATTAATTTATTTTTTATTGATTAAGTCGATTATTTACACATATCGGGAAGCTCATGTAACTTGCCTCAAGGCTAAATATCAATACCAACTAAACAACATTTTTTGTTTTTTGGTCTGACACAAACAAAGCGGATGGTTTTCCAACTCGTGAACAGGCAACGTATAACTGCCCATGTGAAAAACAATGATTTTCTAAATAATCTATTTGAAATTTATCCCGCAAACACTAAGCGATTGGCCTTGCGACTTGTTATTGCGAACGCAAGGCGAACTGGAAATTGCAATCGTTTGAAGTCAAACGAAAGACCAGTCGGAATCATTGGTATGTCACCAAATCGCCAGCAATTTTTGATTGAATGGTGAAATTCAGTGCGTGTACATCATTATTCTTTGCGGCAAGAATTGCTCGTTGACTTAACCAAGCATAATTCTGATAATTCTCACTAATGTCATTACTCGAATTTTTAATAACGGTGCGTGAAGTTCCAGCAATTTGCATTAAGGCACAATGCCATGCACCACTAATTTTCTAAATAATTAATAAAAATCTATAAAAATAATTATATAATTATTACTATCCATCCCTTATTCTGTGTCTCTTTCCAACAACCAACCAACCCTATCTGTCCATCCCACTCGCACGTCATCTCCGTTCTCATCTCGCCGCGTACATGCATCCCTTTCCCTCTCACTCTCGTTTTCGTCAGAGCTCGTCAAACATCGGTTACGCGCACCGAATATTCGGTCAGTCGTACGGCGGCCGCTCGAGAGGACGGTCACGAAGTAAATTATGTTAATAAATATAAATTTAAATTTTATTGAAATTAATTATAATATTGTTTAAAAGGAATTGTTAATTGATAATTATGATTTTATAATAATATGTGTTTGTGAATAAATAATTATTTAAATTTAAGTGGTTATAATCAGTGAAGTTTTGTTTGTTAATTAAAGAAATAAGTTTGTATTTGTGGTGTAAATTTTTTTGTGGTGTGAAGTTGTCGACGAGTAAAAAAACGTTGGAATTTGAAATTTGAAAAGTGAGTTTTTTATTTGAAAAATTTGTTTAATGAAATTTATATTTTGGCACAAAGGGCAAAATTCATAACTTTTTATACAACTTTATATTTTTATTTGAGTTACATAGAAGATGTAATATTGTAAATTTTGTATTAGTGTTTGAAAATTATTTTATTAAAACTATTTTGATATTTTTCACAAAAAAAAAAGAAATATTAATAATAGTAATAATTAGTTTACTTCATCATTTTTGATACAAATATATATTAAAAAATTTGTTTAATGAAATTTATATTTTGACACAAAAAGGCAAAATTAATCATTTTTTTACTACTTTATATTTTTATTTAAGTTATATAGAAGATGCAATATTGTAAATTTTGTATTGGTTTTATAATTATTTTATTAATACTATTTTGATATTTTTCACAAAAAAAGAAATATTAATAATAGTAATAATTAGTTTACTTCATCATTTTTCATACAAATATATATTAAAAAATTTCTTTAATGAAATTTATATTTTGACACAAAAAGGCAAAATTAATCATTTTTCATACAACTTTATATTTTTATTTATGTTACATAGAGGAAATAATGTTGGAAATTTTGTATTAGTGTTTCAACATTATTTTATTAATACTATTTTGATATTTTTCACAAAAAGAAATATTAATAATAGTAATAATTAGTTTACTTCATCATTTTTCATACAAATACATATTTATAGAATATATATATATAATAAAAGTTATATAATATTATTAGTATTTTTGAGTTTGTTCATAATTACTGATTTATGAAAAATAATTTATTTTATACCTAAGTTTATTTATAAAAAATATTTAATTTGCTATAAAAATAATTTACTATTTTGATATTTTTCATAAAAAAGGAAATATTAATCAAATCTATTTTACATAATCATTTTCCATACAAATATATATTTATAAAATATATATAATACAAAAGTTATATAATATTGATTGAATTTTTGCATTAGTGTTTCAAAATTACTAAGTTCTGTAAAATAATTTATTTTATAATATTTAGGTATTAATTTTAAATTTATTTTATTAATACTATTTTGATATTTTTCACAAAAAATGAAATATTAATAATAATTAGTTTACTTCATCGTTTTTCATACAAATATATATTTATAAAATATATATTTATAGAAGTTATATAATATTATATGAATTTTTGCATTTCTTTTTCAAAATTACTGATTTCTGAAAAATAATTTATTTTATACCTAAGTTTATTTATAAAAAAATATTTAATTGATAAACTGATATAAAAATAATTTAAGTATAAAATAAAAAAATAATTTCTTATTTTAATATATAATTTAATTTTTAATAACACATTTAAATTGTTTTGCACTAATAATAATTATTTTTAACAAATTTATTATTTTAATATATAATTTTATTTTTAATATTACATTTAAAATATTCTGCACTAATAATAATAATTTTTATAAAATTTATTTATTTTGTTATTTAAATTCATTTTTAATATCAAATTTAGATTGTTTTGCACTTTTTTTTAAGTTATAATAATAATATGAAGAAAATTTAATATTTAAGATAATTTCTAGGTAATTATTGATTTTTTTAAAATAAATAATAATGTTTTTTATTTTAATATTTTTAGTAGTACAATTTACTTAAAGCAATTAAATAAATTATTTAAAATTAGTACTAAAATTTTGTATAATCATTTTTATCTATTTGAAAAGAAATTAAAAGATTGGCCAAAATTTAATTTAAATATTAGTATTAAAATTACTAATTTTTATGAATTTTATTTTAATACTCAAGTTGTCTCAAAAATTAACTATTAAAATATTAATAATAATATATTAAAATTTCGAATAAAATGAAATTCTTGTCATTATTAGTATAAATATTTATTTAAAAATTTATTTAATATGGTAAAAATGATTTGAAATATAAATGTTACCAAATATTTTTAAGATAATAATAAAAATGCATTTAAAATAAGGAAATATGATTAGTATTTACTTATAACAATTTATTATCTTAAATATTATGTTTCCTTTATATTATTATTTAATACTCACAAAATTAAATGTTTTGTTAAAATAAAAATATATTACTTTAATTATCAGTATTAAATTCAATTATTAGTTTAAAAAAAATTGATAAAAATAAAATTACTAATGATTATCAAATCTTTACTGAAAACAGTTATATAATATGTTTAAATTTTGTCAATATTAATTATATAAATATAAAATTGACTTTAAAATGAATTTATCTATCAAAATAATTAAATAATTGTTAAGTAACATTTGAAAATTAATTTACATATTAAAATTCCAAATTGTTATTAAAAATGAAATGAATATTTAAATTCTCATACTATAAATATTTATTTAAATAGTAAAACAAAAAATTACATATGAAAGTTACCAAGATTAATTATTATCTATTTAAGATAATTAATCAAAATCAATTTTGAATTAAAAAAAATATTATTTACGAATAATTGTTGAATTTTTAATTCTTATATTAATATTTATTTCAATATTGATTTAAAGCAATTTATATAATATGATCAAAATATTAAATTGAATAATAAAGTTACCAAATATTTTTATAATTTGTTTAAGATTAATAAAAATCAATTTATAATAATACAAGTTTTTTAGCAAATAATTTATTTTTGACAAATATTTCAATTCAAAAATAAAATTTAAAAAGATTAATAAATATAATAAATATTTCCTGAATTATTCTATAGATTACTTTTTATCAAATTATTTGAAATAAATTCCTAATTTAATTTTTGTAAATCATTCTTATCAAATTATTTAATTATTTAAAATAATTGATAATTAGGAATTTTATGAGTTATATTTATTTTTCAAAGTAAAGTTTTAATACATTTTTAATTTATTTGTAAATAAATTATAATATTTCTTAGCTTTAATATTTAAATTTAATTGTTGACAATTTATTTAATCATTGAACAAAGTTTTAACAAATTATTTATTTTAAAAATAAGAAAATGAAAGTATTAAATAATGATCATTATTAAAGAATAAATATTAATAAAATCAATAATTAATTAATTATTAATCATTACTAATAATCAAACTATTACTTAAAAATGATGAAATTGAAATTAGTATTTAATAATCATTGATAAATAAAACAATTTGAATAAAATATTATTAATTACAACAATATAATAAATTATTTACAATTAAATTTATTATTAAAAATATTAAAACTGAGATATTAATAAAAATAGACACGAGCACATTAACAACTTTTACAAATTTTTTATAATATAAAAAAATAAATATATTTATTTATCAATTGTCAGTTATACAAACAAATAATAAAATTTATAAAATTCCACTCAATATAAAAGTGCTAAACAACTTGTACTTTTACAAAAAAATTTATTCAAAATTTTCCTAAATTTCATAAAATATTTTTAAATAGATAAAAGTAGGTACCGCATATTAATCTATTTATTTATTAAATAAATAAGACTACATATTTGTGTTTAATGTTTAATGTTTAATTTTCTGTTTGAAAACAGGTTTGAAGAATTGTGTAGTGTCTGAACAAATGGAGTTTAAAAGTGTTTTAGTTGAGATGTGTTCAAATATGGGAATATTGTGAAAACAAATATAAAGGTAAGAAATTTAAAATTATTAATTTATATATATATATATATATATATATATATATGTGTGTGTGTATATATATATATATATATATATATATATATGTATAATAATTTATTATTAATAAATATAAATTGCATCCATTATCAAATTTTGAAAAGTTCCTGTGCGCCTGATACGTTTTTCATATCGCGTTCTCGCTTGCACGTTAGGCGTTAGAAAGAGATAGCTGAAGGAAATTGAGCAAAGATTGAAATGTCAAAAATTTGACGCGGGTAAAATAAAATGGCGTTAATGGTATTTTATTTAATAATTTACTATTTAAAAGTGATGGTTATTATTGAACATATTATTTTTCAAACTTGCCTAAATATCAAAATTCAGTTTAAATGTATCAAAGAAAAAACTACGGGAAGTTAAAAATTGCAGAGATTTCTAGGAAAACACTATTTTTTATGTCATCCATATATGACTGACAAGGACTTAGTTTATATTAAAATATTTGTTTTTTCTTCTGACATCAGAACTTCTTAGCGTCTGACACATATGACAATTGTTATTATTGTATTGGTTTGTTTTTAGTTATCTTATATTCCAACTTGTTTATATTAATATAAAACTAGTAGTGTAAGGCATCGCGCTTTAAGGCAAATTGCAGGAACTATCCGTACCAAAAATTTAAATTAAGGAATAAAAAAAGATTTGAAAGCTTTGAAAAAAATAGATTTTTGAGTACCTTGAAATTTTTGAGTAAAATGTCTTTTTGATATTTTTAATTTCCTGTAGGGTAAGTTACAGTAATCGCAAAAAATCGAAAATGAAATTTTTTATGTATCTTTACGTTTAAGAGGTTTTTGAACATTTTGGCATACCTTATTATTAGAAAAAATGGATGTAAGTGTGTGTGTGTGCGTGCGCGTGTGTGTGTTTGGATACAAATTTTAGTCGACGATTTCGGGAACACCGATCAACCCGTTTTGATAATTAAAAAATTATTCGATTCTTACTGATAATGCTAATTACTTTTTGTCAAAGGCAGGTCTAGTCGTTTCGAAGATACGGGGCAAATAATGCCAAAAATGGTATTTCAGTTGTTGAGATAACGTAGCGTCCGATTTAAATAATTCAAAAAACATTTTTCTTGTATTGACATAATGTAACTGGTGAAATTTTTGTGAAGGCAGGTCTAGCGTGTCTGGAGATCCAATAAAAAAGTTGGAAAAAACCCTTTGGAGGTCAAAAATGATATTTTTGATATTTTGTCTCCAAAACAGCAACACAGCGCGATCGCTTTGAAAAAAAGTTTAAAATTTACAAAACAAATCAAAATATGAAAAAAAAAATCAAATTGTTTAAAAGTCAATTTCAAAATTCTCATACTTTCCAAAGTATTTCAAAAAAATAAAGTTGGTTTCAAAATGTCTATTTTTAGTACGGGAAGTTCCTGCAATTTGCCTTAAGGCATGATGCAATGCACCTCTGTTATTGTATTGGTTTGTTTCTCGAAAAGTTAAGCACAGTCTAAGCGGCACTCTGGTGCAAATGTTTACCCAAGTGCGTTTAGACTGTTCATGTACTGGAGCACTTTACTAATTTTGTGAAAACTATTGAAAAATGTGAAAATGCCGCCAAGCTAAGCACAGTATAAGTGAAAGTGTCGCACAAAATTATTTGTAAATGCGTTTAGACTGTGACTATACGGGAGCACTTTTTCAATTTTGTGCAAATTAGGCAACTATTTTTTTGAAATTGAATTCGAAATGAAATGACGATTGTTAATGTTCTGGAGATAAATTGATTTATGATTTACATTTGATTTGCTCAGATATAACAAACAAGATAGCAAAAATAACGAAAGTTACAGTATTTGTAATAACAGATTTGAAAACGTTTAAAATTTCTCGAATATTTCATTACGGTACGGGAAGTTCCAGCAATTTGCCTTAAGGCATGATGCCATACACCACTAGTACTCTTATATTTCAACTTGTTTAGCATAAGATTTTATTTTAGTTCATTTAGTAATTACAACTGTCTAAAAATATGATATCTAGTAATTTTTTTGATTAATATAAAAACTAGTGGGGTGGGTGGCATCGTGCCTTAAGGCAAATTGCTGGAACTTCCCGTACCGTAACGAAATGTTCGAGGAATACTGAATGTTTTCAAATAGATTATTATAAATATTGTAACATTGTCTAATATTTATAAGAATTATATAAACTGAATTGCAAAGTTGAAATTATTTGTTTCAACAAAAAACTAAAAAAAAAAAAAATGAAACAAAATTTTTTTTTTCCAAAATCAATTATTTTGTTAAAACAAGCAGAAAGTTTTTTGAATCATTCAAATCGGACGCTTAGTTCTCTCAAAAACTGCCATTTTTTACATGTTTAGCTTCGTATCTTCGAAATGGCTGGGCCTGCCTTTTCCAAAAACTAATAAACACTTCTCCCAATCATTACTAATTGAATGTTTTTTAGATCATTCAAATCGGATACTCCGTTCTCTCAAAAATTCGATTTCTATTTTCCGCACTCTTTGCTCCGTATCTCCGAAACGGCTGGACCTGCCTTTGCCAAAAACTAATCAGCTCTTTTCCCTATCAGTAGGAATCGAATGTTTTTTGAACCATTCAAATCGGTTGATCCGTGCGCCCTAAAACGTGACTGGAAATTTGTATTCACACATACATACACACACACACACACATACACACACACACACACATACACACACACACACACACACACATCCATTTTTTCTGAGGTATGCCAAAACGTTCAGAAACCTTCCAAACGTCGAGAAATGTAAAAATTTTCAATTCCGATTTTCGGCCCATTACAATAACTTACCCTACGGGAAGTTAATGAATGGAGATATCAGGCCTCCCTGTGATATGCCTGACTGTGATTGTCCAAATATTATTATTATTAAGCAGTAGTTATTTTCAAAATAAATTAAAATAGGCTCCATCCAGGTAGTCTTATAAACTAATCAAAATAGATTGAAAATAAAATAATTTTCTTATTTTTTCTAATATTAATCATAGAACCATGTCTCATCTCGTCATTTTTACTAGACTCTCGAGATTATTACTAGACTTAGCGTAAGAAAAAACAAAAGAAATGATGGATTCCATTGATTTTGTAAGATTCCCTTACGCGTTGTGGAAATTATTTAATCTTGCGTTAATAATTAAATAATTATTTCAATTTCAATTTCTTTAATGAATAAATAAATAAATATTGATATTCCAACACGTGCGTGCGTTTTGACGAGATGAGATGGTGAGATGGTGAGAGTAAGTATGAAGTGGCTCTGCCTCTGCCTCTGCCTCCATCGAACGACTGCCTGAAACGCTTCTAAAAATAACCGACGCTCGCCTGGATACAACCAACAACCAACCAATACATCTACTACATCATCCATCCATCCATCTGCATAATAATAATAATAATATGGCAAACAAACGCACAACATAAATATATTTAATTTATATTCTAGCTGGAATTCTATATATTCTATGTTCTATCTAGCATTGCGTTCGACGATGTTTGTTTATAAACACACAGACTCTACTCTACTCTAGTTGCTTTGCAGAATTTGATATAAATACTAGGGGTAGGAAAAAATGGACTTGGTTTTTATTTTTTTAACTTCCCGTAGGGTAAGTTATTGTAATGGTCCGAAAATCGGAATTGAAAATTTTTACATTTCTTGACGTTTTGAAGGTTTCTGAACGTTTTGGCATACCTCAGAAAAAATGGATGTGTGTGTGTATGTATGGATGGATACAAATTTCCAGTCACGTTTTCGGGCGCACGGATCAACCGATTTGAATGGTTCAAAAAACATTCGATTGCTATTGATAGGGAAAAGAGCTGATTAGTTTTTGGCAAAGGCAGGTCCAGCCGTTTCGGAGATACGGAGCAACGAGTGCAGAAAATAGAAATCGAATTTTTGAGAGAACGGAGTATCCGATTTGAATGATCTAAAAAACATTCAATCAGTAATGATTAGGAGAAGTGGTTATTAGTTTTTGGCAAAGGCAGGCCCAGCCATTTCGAAGATACGGAGCTAATTATGTAAAAAATGGCAGTTTTTGAGAGAACTAAGCGTCCGATTTAAATGATTCAAAGAACTTTCTGCTTATCTTAACAAAATAATTGATTTTGGAAAAAAAAAAAGTTTTTTGTATATCGAAAATATTTCAGACTTTATTTTTAATTCTAACTATAGTTCTAATATACTTTACGTATAATTTCAACTCTGCAATTCAGTTTATATAATTCTTATAAATATTAGACAATGTTACAATATTTATAATAATCTATTTGAAAACATTCAGTATTCCTCGAACATTTCGTTACGGTATGGGAAGTTCCAGCAATTTGCCTTAAGGCACGATAATAATTGCCTCAAGACAGAATTCCACTTACAGCTAGTTTTTATTTTATTTTATTTAATATCAATTTTATTTAAGTGAATTGGAAAATTGCCATGGTTTAATATGATCCTACTTAATGTAGTTATAAATTTTCTATCTTCATTTTTAAGACTTTTAAACCAAGTTTTTTTTCTAATTTTTCTTCACCGTGTCATCCCAAATTTCTTGCCATTCCTCTTCTACATTTCTTTTGCTTATATTTTACACATCAATTTTCAGCACAATGTCCTTTTTTTCTCCTTGTTTTGTTGCTATTTTTGCTAATTTGTCCATCTTTTCATTTCCTTCTATTCCATTATGTAATGGACTTGGTTCGATTGTTGATTTTTCAAATGTAATGGTAATAACCCGACATACGAGTTTAATTCGTTTCGCATCCACGCTCGTATGTCAAATCGCTCGTATCTCGAAGCAGTTTTATACTAGATAACCCGACAGACGTTGTCCTGTACCCTCGCCTACAATTTTTTAATATCCTATACTGATATTTACACCATTCAGTTAAAAATAATAATTATTGTCGAATTACTCTTCACATCAAAATGCATATACATTTTAC